CCCCAAAACCCCAAAACCCCACGAATTAATATTTATATGTATCGAAGGCTAAATTTCAATATAAATCAAATAATCAAATAATCACTAAGTTTTGTTCTATGCTACATGAATCACTCTTAGGAAAGAATCAGCTGATCCAAAAGCAGCTTTATTAGTACCTTGTTACTTACTTACATCTAGAGAGAATAGTGGGGCTTCGAAGTTATGCATACATCCAACTAGTTGTCCATCTGCAAAATTAAATACTCTCAACTCATTCTTGCCAGACCCACCGCAAGCGAAAATTAGATTACCTTCGATATTGAACTTGGCAGCATAGAGGAAGGCATTTGCTTCGCCTAAAGATGTTGAGTTTTGAGAATACTCCTCAAAATTATTGATCCAGTTACCTGATGAGTCCTTGTCACCGCCATCCCAGTCAATCGTTCTTGCAGGTTCAGTATGCTTCCTCAGATCCCAAAGTTATAGGCAATTATTAGGAGTGTATGAGCCAGTTAACAGTAGCCCTCCGTGATGAATATCGATAGCCTCTCCATTAATTTAAGGTCCATTGAAGCCAAGAACTGGTTCTTTCTATCTCAGATCATACATAAAAACGTCATTGTCCCATCCTCCACTAAACAGCATTTCCTCCTTATATGGACTAAACTTTAAACACTGTACTCTGTTGCTGTGACCACTGATACTCTATGTGCTATGCATCTTTGCAACTAGTTTCTTAGTGTGCTCATCATAAACTCTAATCTGAGTATCTAAACCAGCTGTAGCGAAATGATATCCTTTATTATCTATGTCTAGGGCATATAGCTAATTTGCTTAATCATCTGTTCTCTCAAATACCTATTTGTGAGACTACAGGCTCACTTCTTTCATGCATCCATCTGCAGACACACACAGGATATTGTTTGGAGCTTTTGGATCATCAGCAATCACTTCATTGCCTACTCCAACTTAGTAGGTATCTACTGATGCTAAAGGATCTTTACGCTTTCTCCATTTCAAGCAAGTTAAAGGAGGATCTATTGACATCAAACTTGTGTATTGATGAGTTTTGATAGTTATTGGATCATGTGAATGCTCTTTCTTTTAATCAAATATTCTAATAGTTCCATCTCCACAAGCAATGGCAATATTTTCATCTTTCACATCAAATGCACAGCCAAAGATCTCGATATCATGCTTCTTGGTAATGGAGAAGCTGCTGACAAGTTCTATCTTATGCTAGGAATTGTGATTATTAAACACCTTGATTGTATGCTTAGCAGGGTTATGAGCATCGAGATGTCCATGATTTTCATTATGATGAGGAGCTACTCCTAAATGAGAATTGCTTTGCATAAGGAATCTATTCTTTTAATTTACTTTATTATTTTTTATTATTTTAATCTGCATTCCCTCGATAACTGCATAAAGGGGTTTTGGGGTTTTGGGG